TTTTCAGGATTCTTTGATGAATGAAAGCTTTTTTTTTTTTAAATAGATATCCTTTGTAACATTATAAATAATAAGAGCAGAACTGAGACTTCAAAGTGACTTTAAAGTAGTTCCTCTACCTGAGAGCTGCTGAAAAGTGTGAATGGTTGAGAAGTCTTCCTCATTGAAGAGCATCCTATCATCCTCATTCTCCAACACTGCCTCAAGGACAGTCCGAAAGTTCTGCAGGTAATACGGCAGCCTGTTGTGCTGATGCTCTGATCCCTCGCTGACTTCCTCTACGCCACGCACTTTGGACTCATTGGCTGGTGTGGTATCGGGCTTCCTCTCAATGTCCTTGTTCGTGGTCTTGCTTTTGATTTGACTCTCTGATAATGGAACAATATCAGACGAGGCCTCAGTTTGATCTGACTTGCCATTCGTTTCATGTCTGTTTTCAGTTTTACTTTGAAAATATCTACTTTTCTTATGTATGACGGAGGTTTCTGTAGTGTTTGTGTCATTTTTAGGCAACTCCTCTGATTTTCGCTTTAGTACCCTGGATGAGGATGAAGATTTCACTGACTGAATGTCAGCGCTGCTGCTTGATTCTGCCAGAACTGCCACAGATTTCTCCATGTTTTTCACTTGAGGTTGGTTTGAAGCTGCTGGCTCTGTTGGGAATGTATTATCTGTATCCATGCTACCGGCTTTAGATTCAAAAATCAAACTCTTCATGCAATTTTCCTTCTGTGAGCTGCTCAGTTCTGCATCATGGGTGTCTTCTTTTCCAGAGACATGAGCATGATCCATCTCAGATTCACCTGAAAGTCTAAGTGCTCTTCTAAACAGTTTAGAGGACAAACTTCCAAGACCAACTGTTTTAACCGGTTTAGCTTGTAAATTTGTTTCAGATGACTCTTGCCTCATCACACAGTTCTTTTTAAAATACGGACTTGTATCAGCATCTTTCTCTCCTGGGCTTTTCTCTTTCCCATCATTTCGAGATGCACCATTAGAGGGTGTTTTGGTTATTTTCTCCTGCTTGTAGTCACTGACAGCCAGTGCATCTTCATGATCCTCTCCAAGAAACTTCTGACATTGAGAGTCTATATGTTCATTAATCTTGTAACGAGGCACAAGTTTGCCACACAGAGGACATGCCAGTTTACACGGTGGTGTATTCCTGAAAAATGAAGTTATGGAAGCAACCCCACCTCCACTGCTTGTTCTCTCTTTGATTGCACTGACCTTCTGGCTCTTTTTCTTTGTCACTGAGAGTCTTCTGGAACTGCCTCTATTTGACGAGCTGCCTTTGCCTGTCTGAGACTCCATAACTGTTTATATATGTTGTCCCATAAACCAGCTAGACAACGTCGAATGAAGTATCATACTGAAGTAGGTGTGAAGCAGGCTGCATATTTGTTTCTGAACCTGAGGGAAAGTACATAAAAACTAAATACTCAGTAGGAGAGGGTGGCATTCAACATACATTGCCTTAATTAAGTAAAGAAATGGTGCTTCATTTTATGTTTAGTGACAACTGATTTGCTTTGTCCGCTGATTCAGATTCTGCAAGACTGACAATAGACCAAAGTCCCTTTGCAATAGACTGCATTAGACATGCCACCAACAAATTAAAATAAAAAATAGCATAATATGAAACAAAACAATACTGTCAAATACAGATTAGACTATACATAAAAATAATTACTATGCAATTATAAATAAAGCTTCTGATAAATTTACATACCTTTCTGGCGCTGAGATTAAACGTGAAGCCAGTCACAGGAATACATGGCGCCAGGATTTATTTTGCAAAATAAAAGTCAGTTCCAGTCCAGTCTTTCTCCAGTCAAGTATTTCTCTGCTGAAAAAAACAATAGACACCATCACAAAATTTGTAATGGTTATAACGGGACTTGTATTGGTTTTAATGGTAACTGCAATGGACCCTGTGGGTCTCTACTGGTAATTGGTCACCTTCTGTTGGTGGCTTGTTAAAACCAATAAATCCTAATGGAATATGTCCCAAAGCACACAACAGTAAACCATTTTTAATGGTTTAATGGTTTTAATAATTAAAAGTTGATGGTTTGTAATGGTGTTTGTAGTGGAAACCATTAGAATTTTCTGTGATGGTTCTATTGTTTTTATCTTTTCATCACAAAGTTGACTTTTCGTTGTATTTTCTCCAGCTGTTGCTGTTGCGTAGCAACTTACATTTTAAAATAAAATAGACTAGTTTAGCTTAAACGGGTTTTTTTTTTATTCAAGTAATGTTGGGATACTTCACCCAAAAATAAGAATTCTGTCATTATTAAGCATTTACTCAAAATTTTCATAACTTACTTCTCTGGAACATAAAAGAAGCTATTTTAGGAAATGTTTCTTTTTTTTTTTCAACATAATGTAAATTGGTTCCCAACTTCCCACCGTTCTTCAACGTATATTTCTTGTCTTCTGCAGAAGAAAGTCATACTGATTTGGAATGACATGAGTGTGAGCAAATGATCCAACAATTTTTGGATTGACTATTCTTTTAACCAGACCTTATTTTACTTATAAATCAGAAACCAGTTGGCCTACAAATTGACGTCATGACTAATAAATTCACCACCGAATCTCTATTTTGTGTCTTCTTTTACAACAAATCCCACACAACAGTTGAACCATTTACACAATGTGAAAACATCTTGTTTCATAAAGATAACAGTGACTAACATGACTAAATTGTGTCCCATCCGTAAAGGAAAATGTATCATAGTTTTATATTATGTATTGGAAATCATATAGTTTATGTTAAAATAGTATAGCAGTCTTCATTTAGGAGAGATTTTCCTAAAGAGCTGAACAAATAGGTACAGACATATTCATTAAAGTGAGACCATGTCGTGACATTTGTTTTTAGATCAAATATTAATGATTTCACTATTTGGAAAGAATTCTATAATTGTTCTTTATTAAAATTGACAAGGAACAAAACACTTACTTTCAAGAGACAGTGTTGGATTGAATTCAACAAATGGACAACAGTTGCAGTTTTATTTCAACTGCAGCTACAAACACACATTCCTTACATGAATGTTGGTGATACACTAAATCAAAAAAAATATTTTTGCACTTTTAAGAGCATTTTCTTTACTAGTCTCAATTTGACGTGCTAGAAGATCAGATACATTTTAACAAGCACATATAAAATAGCTTTTTTCTTGAGAGAGAAAAATATTTGGGGTATAAAGGCATATACAAACAGTGGTTTTCCCAAAGTCTTTTTTGATTTTTAATAAAATATTTTAGTGGATACTACTGAATTAAAATGAACATGTATGACAGCCTTAACACTCACATATGAACCCTCAAAAATCGTTGCATTTAACCAATAAATAAATGTTTTTCTAAGTTACACAAGCTTAAAAGTAAGAGAATGTGTAAGAAACCAAAAACAAGAATATTTCTGTACTCAAATACTGTTACCAATGTGATGTTGCAATTTTTTCGTAATATTGCTTGTAAAACAAATTCAAGGCACTTGCTGTGAAACGGGACACAACTCAAATACACAAATTCATTTTCTCCTTAATTATTTGATATAAGATTTTATAAAAACAAAAAACTGATTTAAGAACATATTTTGAGAAGTCCTCATATCATCACAGTTTTAACAGTAATTATTTTCATGGGGAATCATATTTCAGATCTCACCAAATGTTCCTTGTTAATACAGGCACACAGGAATTTCTTTGGCACATCTCTACTAGTTTCTGACAGAGGGGGGTGAGAGTGAAAAGGCTGCCAAAAGACCTTCATGGTGGTTCAGTGCCTTGCTCAAGGCACAACAGCTGGTGACAGAGAAAGTAACCGATTCTGATTCAGGACTTCCCGATACTGGCCACTCATACTGAGAGAGCAATCAATATCAGTTAGTATGATTAATTACTACAACACATGTACAGACAGATCCAAGAGAACAAGTCAAGAATCACGGCAGGTTTGTTCACTGACCAAATCTAAAGACTTAAAGACATTTTTCTGTGTATTTTTCCAACAGGTTTTAACAACTGATATTAACATTAGGGTCCATATTAGTAGGATTGCAGAAAAGGCTAGAAGGGACAGTTGTTTCCCATTCAGGATAAACACATACAGTGCCGGCCAGGTAGGTTTGGACAGCTTTTTTCCCTTAATAAATGAAATCAAAATTTCAAAACTGCAGTTTGTATTTACTTGTATCTTTGTGTAACATGGCTAAGAACTTCATTTGGACAATTTTAAAGGCGATTTTCTCAATATTTAGATTTTTTTGCACCCTCAGATTCCAGATTTTCAAATAGTTGTATCTCTGCCAAATATTGTTCTATCCTAACAAACCATAACCATCAATGGAAAGCTTATTTATTCAGCTTTCAGATGATGTACAAATCTCTACACTTATGACTGGTTTTGTGGTCCAGGGTCACATATTTGGCAATGTAGAGCTCTTTAATATTTTTAGACCAACTTAAAGGTATTGATCACCCAAAAATTTGAATTCTGTCATTGTTTTATCGCCCTCATATGCAAGCCTGTTTCTGGCACAGAATGAAAAAAAAAGGTAATTGATAGTTCATATCTCAATTCAAACATTTTAATATAAAGATATAAACTCACATTTCTGACAAAAAAAGTCTGAATTTGCAACTTTTTATCTCACAATTCGGATTTTTTCTTATATCTTGCAATTCTGTATGTATGTCTCACAATTCAGAGTTTATAAAACAAGGCCAAATTGGGAGATATAATTAGAATTGTGAGATAAAGAGTTGCAATTACCTTTTTTATTCCTCATGTCATTTCTAAACCTGTATGACTTCTTAATTTCTGCATAATATGACAGAAAGTTATGAAAATCTGTTTTTGTTTTTTTTGGCCATACAATTAAAGTCGGAGGTCTATTGTAGTTTTAGACCCCACTGACTTGGACTCATTGTACGGACAAAAAAAAAACAGTTCTTCAAAATATCTTTTCTGCTTCTTTCATGAATAAACGAAGACAGAATTTTCATATTTGTGTGAACTACCCCTTTAAGGCTCATAACTAACCAGCCGCAATATTAAGAGATTACACAATGTGTGTATCATTACAAATGTGATATATACGTGGTTACTTCAAAAAGCAATTACCAACTATTTGATTCTTACCTTTCCATCATGTTCAAAGTGATATTAAGGCACAATAAACTATCACAAGGTCATGTGATTTGTTGCTAATAATGAATAAACAGCACATTTCCCCCATCAGAAGAGCAATCTTCTGGGTGGGTACCGTAACAAATAATTCACAGCAAAAATCAGGAAGGTGTATTCTTAGTCCTTCCAGCAACTTTTGTAAAATTCTGTTCAACAGATACAATCAGGTAAAAGGCTGAATGAGATAAATTCCAAAGACAACATACACATGAAAATACATCAACAATAAATAAATAAAACACTCACATAAAAGGTAAAGAACGAGAGAGAAACAGCAGAAAAATAGAAAATGAATGAAGTTTAGAAGGAGGTTTTCTGCTAATTGGCTCTGTGGTGATGGAGCAGGAAGTTGACATCTAAATTGAGGCACAATGTTGTTCTGCTCTTTCTGATGTTTTTCGTAAGGTCCTGTTTGTCACATAGTCATGGTTGTTGCTCTCAGCCGTTACACTGCTGCTGGTAACGGCGATTGAGTTCTCGCAGCTCCTTCTCGCGAACGCGTCGCGCTTTGCTGGACTTCGTGGAGCGGCTGGAGCGAGTGGACTGTGCTGATTTGGTGCTCTGGCAGCGTGATGACGCTCTCTTCCGCAGGTTCTGGGAAATGGACCGCTGCAGGTTCTTCATGGAGGAGGAAGCAGCCATGCTGACAATCCAAGGGTGTTTAAGTGCCTGGCCCGCAGTCAGACGCTCAGTGGGATCCACCGTGAGGACACGGTCAATGAAGTCCTTAGCAAGGTTGGAAACACTTGGCCATGGCTGTCAGAAAACAAAAGAGAACAGAAAATAGCTTAGAATCTTTTGAGAATGTCTGAATACTTCTAAGACTTTTATAGAGTTTTTTATACAGTGTAGAGGGGAAATAAGATCTTCAAATAAATTGATTCAAAGGTTTAAAAGTTGCAGCTGTACATGACAACATGTAACAACCCAGCTAATAAAATATATATAAACTATCATTCAAATGTTTGGGGCTGGTAAGATTTTCTAATGTTTTAAAATGAAAGAAAGCTCACCAAGGTGACCTTTTAAGCTTACATTTATTTGATCAGAAATACAGTAAAAACAGTAATACTGTGAAATATTATTACAATCTAAATTAAGTGTTTTCTATTTTAATATATTTTAAAATGTAATTTATTCCTGAGATGGCAAAGCTAAATCATTACTAGCCATTGCATCAGTCTTTAGTGTCACATGATCCTTCAGAAAGCATTCTAATACACCAATCTGGTGCTCAAGAAATATTTTCTTCTTACATTATCAATTCATATTACCGTAATTTCTGATTTCTGATTCTAATATTTTGTGGAAGCTGTGAATATTGATTTTTTTTTTCAGGATTCTTTGATCAATAGAAAGTTCAAGAAACACTGTTCTTTTGAATTTTCTATTCATCAAACAATCCTGAAAAAAGTCAGGATTCACAGTTCGTAACATAAATTATAAACTGAAACAATAACATAATGTAATTATAATATACGCTATAAACTGAACAATAACATAATACTGCATAATATAATATAATATTTGCTGATTTCTGTATTTTAAGATAGATGCATATTTTGGATACCCATTTCATTAAAGGGATAGTTCACCCAAAAAGGAAAATTCTGTCATTAATTACTCACCTTCATGTCGTTCCAAACCCGTAAGACCATAAGAACCACTCATGTCACATGGACTATTTTAATGATGTCCTTACTACGTTTCTGGGCCTGGGAACATTTCAGTTACATTGTTGTCTAAGCTCTCGGATTTCACCAAAAATATCTTTAATTTGTGTTCTGAAGACGAACAAAGGTCTTACGGGTTTGGAACAACATGAAGGTGAGTAATTAATGACAGAATTTTCATTTTTGGGTGAACTATCCCTGTAATGCCCAGATTGGACCTTTGCTAACGTTAACCAGCTTTTAATTTATGTTGTCTGGAAATACATAGATGTCAGTAAGAAAGAAACAAACAAAGACCGGTCAATTATAGCAATAGCTAATATTGCGGACAATGCGGAGCATAATTCCAGTTCAGTAAAAGAGAAAGCAAGCACACTCCCTGGACTGCATCACCTGTGCCAGGTGACTGGCTAGACTAGCCGTGCATGTCCTGGTATGTTATGACAACTGGCCAAACACTAGCAGCTCTATAAGCAAGAGAGAAAACAAAACATGGTTCGGTTTTTGTTGGTTAGCATGACTCCTCAAGGGCTTTTCCCTGTAAAGCCCACATTCGTCTTGTCTGTGACTCACAGCAGCAGAGAGGCCCTGACGCGCACACTCTGCCAGGAACTCTGCGGCCTTACATCACACGCTCATGCAGGGGGTTACTGCGGGATAAGACATGATGACAGGACTGTGCTGGGTATTGTCCAGCTAACACAAACACACACACTCCACAAAATACAAGCACACGCAATCACACAAAAACATGCATGCAAAACACGATAAATAGAGGCACGCAAATAAACACGTTCAGAATCCCAAGGTCAAAGACAAAACGGTTGGCAAAGGTTTAAAGTGTTTGAAAAGCACTTTGTGATGAATAGAAACAGAGCACATTAACAGACAGACAGACAGAAGGAGGCAGGACTATCATAGCCTGTTGTGTTTTGCCTTTGAGATGGTGGCTTTGTGGGGAATATTTCTATTTAGGAATGCAGTTCTGAATGGACTGGGGAAAAGCCTCAATGACCTCAAGTCACTGTATAGCAGTAGACAGATATTTTCAGTGGGGCACTGTTGTTCTTCTTCTAGAGAGGATGTGATTGGGCAAAAGTTTGAATAGTGCAGGATGAATCAGTATTTTTTCAGTATTTTGTTTTTTACCAGAAAGAAAGACATTGGCAAATATTTGCTAATGGCTAATTTTGTCAAAAGCATACAGATGGCCTTAAAGCTAATAGGTATGGACTACATGGCAAAAAGCTTTTGCTCACCAGACCGCAGACAGAATATATGCCATGCAGTGCCAAGGTTATGACTGTAGGTCCCAGGCAATGCGTGGTTAGTTGGTTAGTTAGTTAGTTAGTTGGTTGGCGTTTTAACACCATGCCAGCTTACATGGCAATTTTTATAGCAAGTAAAAAGTTTAAATACTACAAAATAGCATTTTAAAAACCTATATAATGTTTTTAAAGTTTGCTTTAAAACTTAATTTTCTTTTGCAGAGCAATATAATTTCCTAGGAGAACAAGCACAATTGAATAAAATATGTTGAAGAGATGCTGGACTCTGAAATGAAGAACATAGCAGTGGATCTTTATTTTGTGTGTGTGAAATCTCCTATGATCTAATTATTGAAAATGAAAATGTGACCTTTACATACAGTAGGGTTCATTTCATTTTCTGTATCATTTAAAGTGTTTATTCATATTCATAATTTAAAAAATAGTTTGCAGAACAATAAAAATAGTCAAATTAAAACTGATGTCTGCTTTATATGCCACTAGTGGGATTAATTGGTTAACAGTCTATAATGCAGTTTTACCATATGGCAATACATCATTATTCTTTACTTTCTCTCTTCAAGAAATCAATAATATTACGTTTTAAAGGCACACTAAAAAACCTTAAGGGGTAACCAACAGAGGAAGGACACATACTAAATTACACTATTAGTACAGATGTAACTGAGTTTATGCCACACTTGTTTTATCTTTTATAAAGGTAAACAGAATTTGCTTACAAATACATTTTCTGATATTTTTGCTATAAATATTTTGTTTATTATTATTTATTTGAGCATGTCTATAATAATATAATTGTATTTAACCATTTAAAGTATTTAAGTATTTATATTCTGATTTAAAATTAAAATGAGCCAAAAAGCATCAAAATACAACACCTATATTTTATAACTTTTATATATATATATATATATATATAAATTATTATTATTATTTTTTTATTTTTTTTTTACATGCCATGTGACCGTTAACCAAAATCATGGAACTGTGAATATCTGAATGTGTCATTAAATTAAGATATATTAACTTAA